AACCGCGCGATAATACGAGATCTCTCCTCTCGCGCGCACCAAGTACAACGCGAGTTTCGAGGGGAAAGAAGCGACCGTTTGTATCGGAGCTTGGCTGGCTGTGGACTGGCTCTTTCTAGCACAGAGAACATAGAGCCTCGGCACATTGCCTCTGGCGTGCCGAGGTGGGGGACACTCTGACCCAATTCCCGGACGTTCACCCGCAGTTCACCGCGTGAAAGTGAGAGTCCCCCTTGCGCGCACTGGCGCTCCTCGGCCGTCTCCCTCTTCAGGTTCTCTCTCTCTTTCTCTCATTCCCAGTCTCTCTCTCTCTCTCTCTCTCTCTCTCTCTCGCGCTCGAGTGAACCCTAGATGATGTCCTCCTCGTCGTATTTACCGCGAGCGCTACCATAGAGGCTCGCGGGCGCTCTACTAACGGGTTTCTTCCCTCCCTTCTCCCCACCTTCCGTCAGGAGAAGCTACCCTCACCGAACGACCTGCCCTACCTCCACCTCCCGGTTCCTACCCTCGCGCTGATACCCCTCTAACACACCCACCCACTCGCGAATAAGCGCGAATATAGAAACCCTTTGCGTACTTGCACACCTTTTTCGTCTCTTCCGCGAGGCCGCGTCTCTCTAATCGTTACAGAGACGTTTTACCGCGAACAGAAGTAGGAGGGGAGGCGGTGATAGAAGTGGAGGAGGAGTAGGAGGAGAGTTGGAAATGAATAAAAATTGGAAAAGGGGTAGGTCAGTGCGAAGGTACTTCCCGTCGTGTATCGGCCAACGACCTCGCGAGACGATTACGTAACATACGACGCGTGGGGGGACCCTTCGTGAAGCTTCTGCATGTTCGTCGTCGCCGTCGCCGTCGTCGTCGTCGTCGTCGTCGTCGTCGTGCCGACGACATACGCGTGTATGCACGTACGCATACGAAAAGTTGGCGATGCTCGTCGCCGAGTAACTCCGCCGTGACGTCAGACGCGCGACCTCGCCTACCTCAACTTCGTGCGGTGCCCGTTGAGAGAACGATGTACCGTTGCACCTCCGCGCCCGGGCTGTCAATCGGCGCGAGGCGTTTGACGCGAGTCAATGAACTGTCAGCGTTGCCAATGTTGAGCCTCGCTGCCTCCGACGATTCCGATCGATCGAGCTCGATCGACCACGCGCTCGACTTTTCGGACGAGGAGGCAGAGGCGAAGTGTCTCACGCGAGATCACACGTGTCCGAGATTCGCTCGAAATTTACAGTTGCAAGCTTTATCTCGTTCAAGGAGAATTTTTCGTATAGCTGGAGAGCTCGAGAGTTCTCGCGACTCTAAGCGATTTTTATCTATATGGCGGAGCATTATCGGTCGGTAAATCGCTGCGAAATGCGAATATCGGGCCACGAGCTACCGTCGTGGATGCCCGGACGAGGCCAGCAACCCCTGTTGAACCTGTCGGTCGACGGGAATCCGACGAGCGAAGGGTGAAGGAGGAGGTGTGTGGGGGAATGCGGTGCATCGATCTCTCGAACCGTGCATGGCCCGTGACGGGTCAGGGGGCGATCACCTTCGCGCGCTACCTCAAGTTGCGAGTGTTCCTTTGCGCACGCGTTCCTCCAGTCCTCGTGAGACACGGAGGATCGACAATTAACCCTTTTTAAATGAGCGAGATACCCGTCGACATCCCGCCGTTATCACGCGCCAGCCGAACGTTTATTTCATCTTCGACTAACGACTGTTGCAAGAGCACCGTCTTCCCGCCCGCGTCACCCTCGAAACTGCACCGACGAAGCCCCGATGATATATTTAGCGATAGTGTGCCGGGAAAAATACACCGAGAGGAGAACCGAACGAAACACGACGCGCGCTCCGCTCCGCTCGCTCGCTCGCTTGCTCGCATCCGCCGAAACTTTCGCCGGTTTGAGAAAGTTCTGTTATTCTCTGTTCTCGATTCCGCGATGAGAAAACTCATTTCCGCAAATCCTTGCCGGCTGGAATTAACTCCTGCATTTTGTCGGAGAAAAACGCGAGAAAATCATGCGCGGATTCTCCAATTTTCCAACGAGCGTCTCACGAGACGCGATGGTAATCGCGAGAGTACGACGACGACGACGACGACGACGACGACGACGAGGACGACGACGACGATCTCTCTCGTAGGAAAATCGACCCTCGCGGACCCTCGCGCAATTTAGCGGCATCGTCGTTGACCGATTCAAGCTCCAATTTTATTTTCCGTGGAAGCAGCGACGAACTGAGCTGGCAGAAGTGGCGTCGCTCGGTGACGGTATACGCGAGGAGGTTGTATGCTTCGTGCACGTCCCGTACGTGCATGCACACACACGCGCGCGCAGGGTAAGGAGAGTGTGGGACATACACACGATGTGGTCGCGGGGCCAACGACCGGAGCGCGCGACTGCTGCAACGGATAGGGGGAGGTGGGAGGGGGGAAATGGCGATCCGACCGAGGGACGGTAGGGGAAGGTAAGCGTATCTGCCGCCACCAAGAGAGGGTGGAGGCGGGAGGTGTAGTAAAAGTAGAGGAGGAGGTGGCCGGGGAGAGAAGGGGACGCGAAACGGAGTAACGGTGACGTACGTAACGCGCGCGTGCGCTCGCTCCAACAGTCGCGACACTCTCCGCTCCGCTCGGGGGCATTAACCGCTCGCTAGCTAGCTAGCTAGCTAGCTAGCTAGCTAGCTGGCTGGCTGGCTGGCTGGCTGGCTAGCTAGCGAGTGAGCGAGCTAGCTCGTTCGCTCGCTCCAACACTCTCCTACGACCCCGAGAATCTGCCGTTCTGCTCTGTTCCCTTCTGCCGGCCCGGGCATCGATATCGGCCAAGTCGATCGTCGAGGTCAGAGATAGTCCTGCTTCCCTGTGCGCGCACATTTTTCTACCGCCTTTTCGCTTATCGAATGATAGTAGCAAAGTAGTCGCCAGCGCGATTAGGTGTCGATGCCGATCGATCTCGCATAGCTCCGGCTACATCCGCGGAAGCGTAGCGCGGGCCGCTCCAACGAGGGGACTCTATTGCGCGACTGAATCATCGTCGCTCCTCCGTTGATCGACTCGCGTCATCGCGTGAATCACTCGGAGCCCGAGGCTCGATCTATACTTTGGACGACGAGTCGCGGCGGCGGCAGTTTCCCCCCGGGGGAAACGAAACGAAAATTTGCTCGACGCGGATTCTCCCGGAGAACACGCAGCGATATGGACTCTCCCGTTGTCCCCGAATTACAGTAGACGCGTCGGGTTACACAACCCCCGCGCGCGAAAGCCGGGGACCCTTCGGGAGACCTATCGACTCGCCGGCTCGGCGTTGAGAGGAACGATGCGCGGTGCGGCACGGCCGACGATGGCGATGCATTTGCACTCCTTCTCGCCGATGATATCGCGTTTCGCGGGGACGAATTTATCGGGCGTAAAAATTGCGCCGGTGCGCGATTCCGCGCGACGGGGAAGCGCGTTATCTCCAAGAGCTCCCGCCGCTCCGGTGGACAGATACCGTGCGCCGAGCGAACACCTACCACGATAATAAGCGGCTGACCCGATTCTAAAGTAGATGCACCGGGGTCAGTAACCCCGAGCGAGCACCGAAATACTCGCGCAATCAAATGAAAATGAGATCGCGACTCGTTACGACGTCAAAAATGACGGTTACCCGAGCGAGGTGGGGAGAGTGGGGGAGGGCTTCCCCGTGGGAAGGGGTGCGCGGAGAGGCCAGCGGCATGAGGGAGGAGGAGAGGAGAGGAGGTGGAGGTGGAGGAGGGAGAGTGACGTAACTGGCTCGGAGGGTCGACGACCGGAGGGTTAATGCACCGGTCGCCTGATTTCAACCCTCCGGAAAAAGCGTCGACGTGCACCTCCACCGATGATTGTTTCGTCGCGGAGGATTTAAAGAGGAACTCTACTTGCCGCGGAATCTCGTTTTTCTTCCGATTTATTGTTCTCGACGTCTCCTACGGGGAGGATCGCACGCGATCGACTCGATCGAGACCGATCGGGAAATTTTCAGCTGCGCTCTCCGTACACACACACACACACACACACACACACACACACACACACACACAATCTCGAGCAACTCTCGCTTATAAAAATATTTCTTGTATCAGAAATCCTGCCGAGTCGGACGCGCGTCAACGTCGCACGCTGGATGTGTCGCCCGTTTAACCGTGCCGTGTGCTTCTCGCTCGATAGGTCAACGCCCAGATCGCTCTAACATATATACGAACGACGAAAAATCCTGCGAAGCTACATTTGCTCCAAGTTTAATTCGCCACGACACGTTACCGTTATGGCAGCAGAAGTAGGGCGATAATAGCGTCACTCGTTTATTCTCGAAGCGCAATCAATTTAGCTCCAACTGATCGAAATCGCTCCAAAATACTGCGCCGATTTTACTTCGTCACGCGAATCTCGCGACAAGCTGACGAGCTTTATTTTTCGTTATCAAGTCGGCAGAAGTATCTTTTTTTTTTTCTGACATAACGACGTCAGCTCGCGTCTCTTCGCATACCCGAATCTCTTTGCATTCTGAGCCGCGCGAATGTGAAGATTTGATATCTCGGTGATCTCTCTTTATTCGATATGAGAATTTTGCCCATTTTCGAGATACTCGAGGAGAGAGAATTATACCGAAAAATATTACGGCAGTCTTTCTACGTTAAATTCGCAATCTTCTCCCTCCCCCTTTCCACCTGCGAAGTCAATATTTCGCTCGGCGCGGCGGTCCGCGACGTCGAGAGAAAAGTAGCGTATGACCGATGAAACGGTAGAGCGAAATAGTGCAACAGTGGTGGCGACCGAGCGACCTAGTCTTAAAGATACCCAACACTCTTCCGCGTTCTCTTCCCTTTCCACAAGCCCCTCTTCCAGTACCTTAAGACGCTCTACCGCTAGCGGCTAGGTCACTCAGTGGAGACTCGTTCGGCTTAGCGCCTCTTACGGCGCTGTGCGGCCATAAGTTACTGACCTAGTCAACCAGCCGGAGGCCGTGACTCTGCCCGGCCGATTAGTCTTTCCGAAGAATTTTAGCGTCGGAACGACGGAGGCGACGGTGGTGGTGGTGATAGTGGTAGGGGCGGGGCGGGGAGGGAGGGGAAGGAAGGGGGACGAGGAGAAGTGGGGACGGAAAAATCCCCGGCCACCAGGTGTTTCCAGGCGGAAAAATGCGGCCGATCTAGTTCTTTCTTCCACGCCTACAATAGGAGCAATGAAAGCATAAGTACCTGCTCCGGACAGCTCCCCTGAAAGGTCCTCTCGATACTTTCGCTTTCCCGTGGTTACAATCATCATCATCATCATCATCATCATCATCACCGTTACCATGTCGGCTTTTCGGAGGCCACTCTCTCCTTCATTCCTCTTCCATCGGCTCCTTTTCCCACTCACGGTCGAAGTGTTAACTAACGAGGGCTTCGCTCAATTACCACCGTGAAAAGACTCAGCAAAATCGATTATTCGCGTTATGAGAGACGGCGTTCTTACGCGAGGATACGTAGCTACCGTTTCCTTTCTGTTCGGAAGTTGCCAAGTCCCCAGATGTGTTTCCGTGCGCGTTGCCGTATGTCGAGGCATTGATTGAACGGCAAATCTTGACGGAACTCGCTCGCGCGATCGATCGATCTTGCGGGGCGACCGAAGAATAACAGCGTCACCGCGGAATTGCGTTCCGTGTCGCGTTCCGTAACGCGTTCGACGTTGCGAGTGAATTTTTCGTCGTAATCGAGGAAGAAATGTCGCGTGGGGTCAAGAATGTCGTGCAGCCCGCGCAGTCCATCTGCATCTTCCTCGAGAGCGGGAAGTGTATTTTTGTAACGAGCTCATTAGCCCGGTAAATCGCGCGTGTCGCGAGAGAGTGGAAGAGGGACGACGGAGCGAAGCTGCCGCGCGAATGGCCCGGGTGAGTCTGCGAGCGCGAAGAGGCGAGCGATGGCACGGCACCTGGTATTAGCGGCGACCACCTCCACCGGCATCGGCGGAGCGCCTGTGGAAGTGGTAAAGCCACCGGTGGTGGATATATAGTGGCGCCGTACCTCCGCTTCCTAAAACGCATCCATAGCCGGTGCTGACCCTACTATCCGCTTCCGGTCGGGCCGACGACGGGCGTGCGTACGACCGAGACAAAAGAGACGTCGGACGAACTTGAGACTCGGACGGCGGGAGTAATGATCCAAGGAGAGACCGTTTCTTTGCCCGCGTATCGCAATTAGAAGGAAATGCAAAACTCATCGGCTCTGTTTTATATCACGAATTTCTTCCGTAATCCCCGTCCGGGTCCCCGAAGATCGTGTATAATACGTTATACATGTTCAGCTAACGCGAAAGAGACCGCAGATGACAAAGAAATTTTTTTGATGGAATTTTGGGTCTACCTGCCACGTGATCACGTGTTTCTTTAGAGGAAGGTTGACATTCTGCGAAGGCCGTTGACCGCATTTTCCATCTAATTTGCACGACACGGCTCTTACTCGGCTATTCTATTCTCGTTACCTGAGTGTTGTAGCCTGAATCTCACGGTAGCATGTTAGAGGGAAAAAAACTATGCAAAAACATAATCGACCGAAATCCAACGGAAAATTGTCGACGCGGAGTAACGCGTCGATGGTTAGGAGGCAGTTTAAAAGTTCACTGTCGATGAACGAAGACCACGATGGCCCTGGCGATAATGCGTGAATCGAGAAAGAAAAAAGCCTTGACGAGATTCCTCGGCGAGACGTGGGGGAACTACCGGGTCGTGAAATAACCTCAAGGACTACCTCAAATCTCTTATGATTTCCGCGTGTCTAAGGTCGACTCGTGCGCGCGGTCGACAACTCTTTCGTAGCCTTGGTCCGCCTCACGCACTCACATTCACACACATTCCCTATCTGGCCACACCGCGTCGCACATTCACGATTTCGATACGCGTTGAGGAATTAACGCCGTTGCTATGCGTCTCTATTCGCTGTTCCGCGACTTTTATCGATTCTTCAAACAACTCGAAAGAGCGCGCTTCTCCATTTCTATTAATTCCTCCTCAGCATTGGAGAATTAATTTTCTAATAATAATTTTCTATAAATGCAAAATAGAAATATACTTTAGAATAGAATACTTTTTTTAAATCTCGATTATTCTATGAAAGCCTTTTCGTTTAATTTTCGTTTAGCCTTTTCTTTTCGTTTAGGAGACGTAAATCTTTTCGTGCCAGAAGAAACAATCGACGATGATAGAGTGAGACCAACTGCGTCAGCGAAAGCACTTGGACGTATCGAAATCGCGGAGACGCGACTTGTCCGATAATCCGCGCGGCGTCTTGTTCTGTCGGCGTTCTCGATGAAAGGAGGAATTCAATTAACGATCGTAACGCAAGCCACAAACGATAGTCACAGCGAAACATACGGCTGACAGAATCGGATCGCCACGCGGATCGACAACCGATCCGTCGGCACTGTAGTACTCACCTTGCACCCCTCGCAAGAGTGGACCCCATAGTGAAAACCGGACGCCTTGTCACCGCAGACTCGGCACAACACGGTGGTCCCGTCAAATTCTGAAACAAGAGAGAAACACGTTCCGTTAATGCAGGTCGTCGCGATATCCTCCACCGCGACTTCCTCTCCACGTGCGCCGCGGGGCGGCGAGAGAAAGGTGGGAGGGAAAGAAGAACACTTTCTCCTCTCTCTCTCTCTCTCTCTTTCTCGCGCGCGCACCACGGCGCGCGAGTTACAGCATCGCCGTGTTACAACTTTCCGCTTTCACCCGCGACTGTCGCGGCTCGTTCGCGCGAATTCTCAGCGCGTTCGCAGCCAAATTAACGCCATTTACGACCCGGTCGGCGACGGGAGAAACACACCAGCTCAGATCGGCTACCGTACCTATGTTGAGCTCGGGCTCTGGCTTAGCGGAGGAGACGGTCAAATCCATCGTCGGCATACTCGGACTGAGTCGGTGAGCCGCCAACTGCACCACGTGATACGGACTAGACATGCCCTGAGTGGATACACGCGGTACCACCGTGGACGCGCGGGAACTTTGCGAGGACAAGCTGGAGACGAGCGATTCGGGCGCGGGTGAGTCCAGTGTGTCCTGCGTGCTACTGTCCGGCGTGAGGATCATGTTTCGTCCGGAGGGATGATGATGATCGCTCACCGCCGGCGTTCTCTTAACGCGCGCCGAATGGAAAGTCGTATCCAGAAGCCGCGCTCACGACACTGCACTCGGTCAACGACAATCGGGTCCACATTTACAATTGGGTCCACTCTCGTTGGCCCACCTACTCTCTTTCTCTTTCTCTCTCTTCCTTTCTCTCGCGTCCTCACTGTCACCACGCTCACTGACCGGTCACCAAATAAATCATCGATTCGCGCGTCGTCTACTGCTGACTTAAGAACTCTCCTCGGAGGGTGCGCGCGCGATTATCGCGACTCGTCGCCACGATCTCTGCAACCGTGCAAAGGTTACGACTCCAGATGTGCGACTCGCGGCAAACACGGAGCACAAGCAGGCAGGATGGTAGCCTGAAGAGAGAGTGAAAGTAAGTCTTCGCTCGAGGGAGGTTCGCGTTGGTCTGACTCGAGTTCGGCGCTGCCGAGTGTTGGTTACCTGGGGGCCGTGCAGCCCTTACTCGGCACTCTGAGTAACTCTGAGGTGGAGGGGAGGGATTGATGTGCTTGCCTGCCTGCCTGGCTGCCTGCTTGCCTGCCTGCCTGCCTGCTTGTCTGCCTGCCTGCCTGCCTGCCTGTTCAGTCGCTCGCTCGCTCGCTCACTCACTCACTCACTCGCTCGCTCGCTCGCTCGCTCGCTCGCGCGCGCGCGCGCGTTCGCCAGGCTGTCAGGCCGCTTCGACCATCTACAATGTCTACGCCCTGGCTACCTAGTATGTAGTAGAGGACACACAACACATTGCTCGGTGCGTTCTCTTACAGGGCCCCCGAGAGTTCATCGTATTTTCAATGTTGGAGGTCACTGACAAGTTGCCGGCGGGCCCGTGCCGTCGCGGCCGCTACGGACCCGACCAATCGGTCGCCTGCACGACGGGCCCCGTGTCGGCGCGATTGGTCGACTCGTCTTCCCCACCGCGTCGACCACGACCGGCCGCGGCGGGGTCTCCTTCCTCCCGTCGGAGGAAGTTCATCGGCCGAAACCTTGACTGAATTACCCCGCAGCAGCGGCCAAGGCCATGCGCCCTCTCGCTCGAACTAACCGCGAGTGTAGCGATTGTCGCGTTCTTTCTCTTTCTCTTCCTCTCACCCTCTCCCCCTCCTATCACTCTCCTGCTCCCTCCCTCTCTTTCTTTCTCTCTGTCTCTATGTTCCTCCTCTCTCCTCTCTTGCTTCTTCACCAGGCCTCTATATTGCGAACGTTCCTTCCCGTCTGCTCGTTTCTTCTTCCTTTCCTCCGTCTTTATCGGTAACGCCGCAAAAGACCGACCATCCTCGTCTACCTCGCGAAGTCTGACGCTTTGTTTCCACGTAATTTCCTATTCTCGTGTAAAACGTTGATTCCCGCGCGCGGAACGCCATGACCTTCGGTATCAATTCGAGAGATCGGTTTTGTAGTAAGTTAGTGGGCGATCGTCAAAATATAATTTTATTTTTATAAAACATTTCTCTCTCTCTCTCTCTCGCGACGCTTTATAATCACGGCCTGACGACTGGACATCGTGGCGCATTCGCGCGAAAAATCTGATGACGACTACGCGTACTCGCTGAATCGGCTGACACGAAAGATCAGATTTGCGCCAGTATTCTAATATTATAAATCGTTCCGATTGCACTCTCGTAGTTGTTTATCAAATTCTTCACGACTATGGTCGGGTTGAATTACTGCTGATAAAACTGAACCGGATATTAAACTCTACTTAGCTATCGGATCTTTCTCGGGTGACGTAAGAGGAACGGAAGAATTTCGTATAAATATTGAGTTTTCAACTAGATAGATATTTCCTTTAACATGAATTAACAGAAGTGTGGTTTTCTATCGAAGAAATTACATGAAGACACTCTCTCTCTCTCTCTCTCTCTCTCTATATATATATATATATATATATATATATATAGCAATTACAAAATCTATAATAAGAAATATCCTGATAATGAAATCTTGAGTTAAATTGTTGTTGGTAAAGTTTATTATAATTCTTCATTAAAATTCTTTTCACTCTTCTTACTCGCGATTAGAAGAGGAAGGACTAAGTTAAAGAGCAACGGTCCGTTGAGGCATATCCCCATTCAAACTCTGAAGGGTTTTATGCCTCAAGTTACTCCGAGGAGAAGATTATACACGAAGTGCCAAGTTTTTCTGTTTACTACCTACGATATGTCAATCCGAATAGTCGCTCGGATCTTCCGCCTTTTCATGAAAATATCGTATTTCCAGAAGCCAAAAGTCACCTCGAGCGAAAGATTTCCGAGTGCGCTTCCGGTCTCCATTCACAGGTAGCTCGAGACCGCCAAGAGTCGAAACGCGAACACTCGACGATCGCGTTGAATTATGCGAACGTTTCGTGTAGAACCGCGCGCGATCTCGCTTTCATCGATTATCCACAGTAGCGAGTATGGTAGAGCGCAATACTCGCTCCGTGTTGCGTCGCGAAAAATGCACGAGACACAATAATCAAATTGTAATCCGCGTGAATAACATCAACAGCTCTTCGGAATTTTTCTATTCTGTCGCGCTTGGTGCACGCATCGTCGAGATGCACCGTTTTCAACAAGGTCTCTCTCTCTCTCTCTCTCTCTCTCTCTCTCTCTCTCTCTCTCGATTAGGCGACGCTTATCGTGTTACCTCGTGAAAGACAGATTGATCGCGTAGTTCGCCGAGACGAAATTTCTTCACGCTCTCTTAGCCGACTACGAACTCGGACAGAGCTGAAATGTGATGGCCGCGACGGCGGAGGTCAGACGGTGGCGTTTCCTTGAAATCGGCTAGCGACCCGTAGTCACGCGCATTTATATGCTACGAATACACCGTGGCCCCTGGCGTCTATTTTTAATCGATCGCGCGCGTGGCGTCACCGCGCGCTCGATGTCGTGCAACGAAAGATACTTAATTACCGAACGCACGATGCTCGGGAAACTCGCGCATCGCATTCGCAGGATTTTTCGCCGCGTGTTCGCGGCCATCCGACCGATTCGTCTTAATGATTACATAAACGAGATCATCGGTGTTTGCATTTGTGTCACGGACGGTACACACGAGTCTTTCTTCCCGCGATAATAGAATGGTAACGCGCAGCGAAGAGGAAGAGAAGGTGGAGTAGGAGGAAGAAGAGACAGGCGGCGCGGCGCGGAGGAGGCGCGGATAAAAATGTAACGAGAGAGAGAGGAGGTGGAGGAGGAGGAGAGCATAATTAGAGGTTGCTTCCCCGCGTTAACGAAGGCTGTATTGTCTACCGTCTCAGTGTCCTTGGCACTGAGCGACCGGTCGCCGACCGTCGTTTGGTCTTCATCGAGGCCTCCTCTCTCAGCTTCCTTACCAAGTTAGAACTTCGCCTCACGGCGATCGCCATGCAAATGCCGAAGGTCCCAGACGCGCTGTTCGCGTCAAGACCACCTTTTTTTCTCAGAGACACTTACAAAAAACCCGAAAACACGACGATCTCGCGAGTGGACAAGGAGGAGGAGGAGGAGGAGGAGGAGAAGGAAACGTGTGCCTACCGCGACGAATTAAAAACGAGAGGATAATGAGCGCAGCAACGGTGAGGTTGATGATGTACCATCTCATACGGTGGTCGTTACGCGAACAGAGCAAGTGAACATCTTCTCTCTCTGCTGTCTCTGGTCCGCGCGATCGCAAGCTATCTGCGGGTTAACGGCAAGCATAGTCGCGAGGATACATCGACCCGGTACGTACATCGGCATGGGCGCCGATCGTCGCGTATATGTCGTACCGCTGAGTAATATGGCGATACTTCCGCAGTGGGCGCTATGGGGCAGGCTATGGGCATAACGGTGCGCACAGCGCGTCACGCATATGCGTGCGTGATGTCACTGAACCTGGAGCAAGCAACAGAGCAGCGGGTGCACACACGTACATGCGCGCGCGGAGAAGCCGCGGAGAATACCACCACCGTGGCTCTGTTGCGCGTTGCTCGTGCAACTCGTGCCGGCAGGATTTTGGCGCGCGTCACACTGCCGTGTCGATTCACAGGCAGACGAGAAAAACGATCGATCGCGTCGCTCCATCCACCTCGGCAAGGGGGAAACCCGGTTCCAACTCTGAAGCGCGAGATATATCTCCGTGGGTCACTTGTCCTAGCTTTTTCATTGAGAAACGCCGTGAAACCAATCGCATCGCGCGCACGCGTGTCCCGCGTCGCGTCGACGGGTCTCACTTGTCCCAAAAGGAACAAGAGCGGAAGGATCGATGGGCGTGGAGGAGCAGCTGCGTTGCATCACGTGTGCGTGCACCCGCTGCACGTACATTAAGGTGCGCGCTGTGTTTCGCCGGCGTAATCTTTTCAATGCAGCGCGTGTCTCCGATCATATCTCGCCCGGGAAGCACGCTGACTCGGGGGATATGTGTCAACCCGTGGACGGTGCGTGCGTC